CCTTCCATAGCCTCTGTTTACATCAGAGAAGGTCAATCCACCCGGGTGCCTGTCGTAGTGCGAACTGAAAAGTCATTCACTGTCGAATCTCATTTCGGCATTTACTGTTCACCGAATGGAATACAAAGACTGTAGGAGTTGCTGCATGAATGAGGAATTAATCAAATTTGGAATACGCATACTCACGCCTTCTCCCTCATTATTAAAATGAGAATGTCCTCCAGACTCATCTTGTAAAATCTAGGCCCTATTTAATTTCCTTTTCTTGAAGTCAACCCCTGTTCCTAATGTCTATGACCATGGAGAACCTGACTGGAATGGCAAGCAAGGGGATAAAGTCGCTTTGTTTCACCCGGGTGAGGGGGGAGGTATTTTAGCCAGCGGTAACGGTTGATATAACAGCTGGGAAGGAATTTTTCACTCGATTTTTTCATTGCCTACCCAATAAACATTAATACAATGGCACTCCAGCACATTCTGTGCATCTTTGAGATAAGTAGATACAACAGTTTATGAAATAGTAATTTATGCATTAAGCTTTATTTAAGTACTAATTGCATTAAATTGAGTTTTTGACAGCAACGTATCATTATCTTTACTGTTGTCATACGCAGACTGTTTTTTCTCTACTTAATTTTGTGTTCTTTTATTTTTCGCTTTTTTATCTTCAAACTACTATGATTAATTGGCAGATCTCTCCAACACTGGAAATACTTCAAGTTGGGAATTGAAGCTGGAGGTTTTCTAAATTATCCACAAATTTGTATCATTTTTTTCTTAGAGATCCTATGATAAGACACTCTAATTGACTGAAATTTTTCATTTAACTGATTTTAATCGTATATTTACCCCAATTCTGTCGCGCTATAAATCCCCTGGGTCTACATGCTCCATCATCACCACGCACACCAAAATCCTGGCTAGTACTCTTTCAGGGTAAAATTCGAAAAATATGGCTTCGGCAAGGTCACAACAACAACTCAAATATATCAATGTTAAGCTGAGTTATTAGTTTTCTAGATGTAGGCACATGTAGCCAAACAAACTGTTGAATAAAGTGAGATAGCGGTTCTAATAACTATGTCGTCAGACTGGGCTGAATCTCTGCATTGATAGGTTTGAAGCTATTACAATAAAAATTTTCGTTAATCAAGCAATCAATTAGGATTTCTTAACTAACGATCGCGATTCTACTTTTCCTTTATCTACGTTCAATGACTGCAAAAGATATGTTCCTTCATTCCGGGTTCCTACTATTACTCTCAGTAACGCAAAAGCACAACTCTTAATTGAGTTGGAAGTAATTGATTTCTCTAACAAAGCATAATGATGAGCAAATAAACAAAGTAAACAAGGCCAGGTTCTCAAAAAGTCCAAACTCATTCGATTACTAATCAAATGGTGTTAGTTAATCAAGTAATGTGGGTTAGACCTCCGCATCTTGGTCAAGACAATAGCCTCTTATAGTAAGTTCATTAGCTAACAATTTCAAAATAATGAACTTCAAGTAGACAGAAGGTTAATATTGAGGAGCTCTGTTTACTTAAAGTGAACACATAAATACTGGCGTTGATATATATATATATATATATATATATATATATATATATATATATATATTAAATGTGTTCCGACCACACAATCTGAAATCAAGTTAACGCACTTCTAGTCTACAGAAAGAATGAAAGAGTTCCCTAACACCTATTTCATTCTCTGTAGAAGCAAAGTCTTCCGATGAGGAGCTTAGTTCTTATTTCACTTTCCTTAGCCTGTTTCCATCAAAACGCTTATCACATTATCTAGAGGATAACCACACATATGAACCGAATACATGGTCTTAGACTTTTCTTGATTACATTGGGATGAAGAAAACTATAGACACTTTGTCGACTTTATTGACTAAGTATTGTCACACGCCTTTAATTGCAGACGTTTTTACAGTTGCATCAGATGCTCGCTTTAATCTCCGATTATTTTTTAAAAGAAATCACACTTGTAAAAATTTCTTTCTTTAATTTGGCCCGAATATTGGGGATGATCTTCACTAGTTTTCTGTAATTTGGACCTACTTTTTCGTCTTCTTATTTAATTATGTGCTATGGTGTACACATATTCTCGGAGACTGTCGTGATATGCCACAGGAATAAAATACCGTTTTTCAACCCTCAGATAATATTGCCAACGTTGACTTATCCCATTTTTTCCCATTACACTCACAGCACCACCTCCTTAATGCAATTGCCAATCATGTCTGAAAAGGAACTCAAACGCGCCAGTGCAATATCTCAGTTCAGTCCTTGCGCATCTTCTTCCGCAGCGGCAAATGTCCCCGAGCTTCTACCAACATGGAGCGATGATCCAGAAATGAATGCCTCCGAAAGCTTCGAAGCCGAAAGTGAACTGCGTAACCACTTTCCCCATTACGAGATCCCAACCAAGGTAACTGACGAGATAACTTTATAATCCTCACTTGGCACTCCTCTTCATTTCAGTAAAACAAGTAACCCTTATATTTGTTTTAATAGGGACCGCGAGTGCAAGATCATGTGCGAACTCTCGTTTTAATGGAATTTCACCAGAAAGTTCGGTACATGGTGTGTTATTTGAAAACATTTGACTACCTCTTACTTCAACGATGGCCGAAAGAACACCAACGATTGGCGGAACTAATGGCCCTAGATCGAATCCCGCAGTTGATCAGGCTATTCCGAAGTCTTGTGCAAACAATTGAAAAGACTATAGAACCTCAAGGTTATGGAAAAATGGCTGAGGCTGTTCTCCAATGGCTGACAAAAGATGACGAGACCAATTTAAAGGTAAAAGCCATCATTTCTTTTATTTTTTGAGTTTCGGAGAGAATTAGGCTGGCATACTTATCCTATGTTAAATTTTTAATGATGACACATTTCTATGTGCTTTTTCTTAACGCTCTTCTCTAGCCTATCTTAGTACTGCATTAGTGCTATTAGGTCCATATAAGGGTTAATGCATGCTACTTTTCTATAGGCCCAATTCGCTATTTTAGTTTGTCAGAAAGTCCTCTTGAGTCATACGTGACATTTGGCTAAGGTATCGAATCGCGCAATTTGCAAATATTTAAAGATACTCAAAGTTTTTAATTAAAATTTCTCAATTTTTTTAATGGCAGTCAGCGTCATTTTCTCTATTTATACCTGTTCAAATCAAATTGTTTTGGCAAGAAAATTGCCGTATCAATATTGGACGCAAATAAAATGGCACAAAAGGCAAAAGGAGGATTATTTAGCATAAAAACAAAGGAATTTAAGACAAAACTTTACTATTTTTATCCATTCATGTAATTCCATTTAAATTGTTTTAATTTCCACTTTTTACTTGTTCCTTCCAATGCATTTTTAAAGCTCATTTGTGCAATTGTTCAAGTTCTACTCTGCACATTTTAGAGAATTTCCTTGAAGTGTTTAATTGTTTCTCAGACAAAATTTTTCTAACCCCNCCCCCCCCCCCCCCCCACCCCACCTCCTCCCCCTCCCTCCCTCTCGGGGCGTTAAAAGAAGCCTGTTTCTTAGCGTGGTTGCAGTACATTTTCAACAGATCAATGTTCCCTTTTAGTGTTCTAATGGGAAGACTCAACTCTTTCGGTTTCGAATAGAACCACATAATAGCATAAATAAGTTTGAGTCCAGTTACAAACTGTTTAAGCTATTGTTTCTTTATTTCAAAATTGTTATCGTTAGCCCTTGAGCTGACTTCGGGCTTCATAGAGAGGAGGAGAAACATCAAAATGACAAAAAGAAGAGAGGGGGGAGAATAATGATTCACAGATTTAAAGGAGACAGACAGACACAAAGGCAGAGAATAGGTCAGTTAAGAACTGTGGAAGTAATTGAATATGACAAATTGTTGGGTCATAGTAGTTTGAAGTCAGAAATCAACTGACGTTCAACAGACTTTTTTGCCGTATAAGTGTACGTTGCCCAGGGTGCACCACGTGGAGGTAAGTCTATCGCACACCCCTTTTAAGTCATTGCTGTAATGAATTAATGAAAAGCGTTTCATTAATAGTACTTCATGATGTTATTTCTGCAAACAGATGCTTGCAATCAAGAGGCAATTGATGGTTGATTTCGTTGAGATTTGTAATATTCAACTTCGGCTTGTTAATTCGATCCCCACTTTTATAATAAAGATGCCCGAATGCACTCGAATGGTGTTAAAATTCAGCGACTCAAATTAACTTTATTCACTAAAGGCATTCAATACTGAGTTGACTGGAATTCACTCCTATGCATGCATGTGCATTTGGAATTTTCGTTAATAAATCTATTGGGAAGGTCAGTTAGTAACTGATTCAGCAATTGGGGGGAGGGTTGCATAAATAATATTCATGCAAAAAAGTCGATCACAATTCCCCATTCTGGGATCCCATTAATCACGGGGCCTATATTCAGGCTGATGAAAGTACAAGTGAGGTCTTTCGATGCATTTGTTTTTTACTAAAACGTTGCTGTTCCACGGAAAAATGAAAGAAAGTATTTATGGTTTATTTACTTTTCCTGAATCAGGGTCATTACCTTGAGTACAAAGTCCGCAAAACGTTTATATAATTGGTGAAAATTGAGGCAACAAATTTCGAAAATAGAAATTGCTTGTGTACCTATATTTATACGAATGTACATGTTTTTTGTAGAAAACACTAAATCATTAGCTCATTTTACCACCTTTTTTCGTTTCAAATGAAGCTTCTCCCTTTCCTTCTTTCTCCCATTGCCTTATTTCCTTAAATTTTTATTTTAGTACATAAATTACTATTAATTGAATAAATAGTCCTTTCCTGTGGTGAAAAAAGCACCTAGCCAAATATAATTCACCCAACAACTTACATTGGGGTATTTCGTTAAGCTATTATTGAATCTAGTCAAATTAGAATATTACTTATCTAGAAACATTACTTTTGCATTCTCCGGTCAAGGTCATACGAGAAACTAATACATTCCTAACCCGAAAAGTAGATATCGATTACAATGGGTTTTACTCCATTCATTACATTACTGAAGGTTTAGTTGTGAAAAATTCAGACACGTTACTCTAGAAACTAAGGATGTCAACTTGTCGTTATATCCACTTTTGCTAACAGAATTTCCGTTATTACGTCACAATTACTATCAAATTAGCTTTTATTCTATCTTGACCTACTTATTTACATACTCTCTTGTGCACTATTCTAGTTTAAGATTAATTATCTGATTCCATCTTGTTGTGCTAAGCATCAAA